GACTTTATAATATAAAATTTTATTTACAGTATTTGTATATATAAGTTAAACTCTTTTGCAGAATAAAAGGAATAATAAAAATTTGATGCTTTGATGATATAAAACAATTTACACTATATTATATATGAATGTCCATATAAACAAAATGAGCCTCTAGGTGAAAGATATATATACTCACAATGTATGACAATGATATATGAAAAATGACAATACATATATCATCAATTCACATGATAAAGAGAAAAATAAAATTCAATGGTCATAATATCATTAACCAAAAAATATATGATATTCATACTCGAATAACTATTGTTTCCTTAATTGCTTGAGATATAAAAAAAATTATTTCTTCTGGATGATGTTGAATAGAAATTATGAGAGTGTAAGAGTTTATTAATTAGACATTTAAATAAACGTAAATTCTACGTCATAAATATGATCAAGATCATTAGAATTATTTATTTATGTAAACTAAAAATGATCAATTTATTAAGTTTCACTATCACATTAATTATAATGGGCAATGTATGTATCTTTTTTGTATCAATCAAAATTAATTACAATAGTGTATATACAAACATCACATATTCTAATTAAAATAATTTATTTGAATAGTAAATTTCATAATCAATGTCAATATCATTTAATAATAATGTAAAGATGTTTTAATTAAATTTAAAAAAATAAAAAAAACAACAATAAAAAGTGATATATATATATATATATATATATACTAGAAGACATCAGGCGGTCGAGGGTAATAAAACTACAAAGGATTGTTAACGTGGCGAATTTCCAGCAAGACAATTAAGGAACATAATAACAAAAGAGCTATCATGAGCATAATAAGAGTGTAATTCTCTCCAGAAACCCCAATAAACTTAATTTATCAAGAACAAACACAAAAACAAAGAAAGATCCATAAACATAATAAAGGAGCCTGAAGTAATTGTAGAAATCTCACGTCTAGGATTAGAGAAATCAAGGATTGTATTGATGAAAATAATGTTGAGTTACAACCTCCTTATATAGGAGAGAATTGTAGAGTCCTAAGTTAACTATACTTAGAGTCCTACTACAATACCTATTAGTACTATATAATAATAATAATAATAATAATAATGCAAATATAAATAATCTAATCCTAGTTGTACTATAATCCTAATCATAATATAATCCTAATTAATATAAGTAGTCTAATTCTAGTACGACTCTAATTCTACAACAATGCTGTAAACTCGTCAGTCAGCTTCGTTGGACCTGTTCCTTTGACATGTTCCAATCGTCAGCTTTCTTCTTCATCAACACTTGCTGCAGACACGTCAGTCAACTTCGTTGAACCTGTTCCTTTGACATGTTCCAATCGTCAGCTTCCTTCTTCTTCAACACTTCCCTTCAAGCTATTGAGTAGATGAACAGTTACTCCTAGCTTGATTTGAATACGCAGCAAAAAAAAACTTTGAATACCCAGCAAAAACTTGTTTTGTCAATGCTTCGGTATGAATGTGATGTCTAGTCGTTGCTTGTGATAGTTCATCTGCAGATTGATATGAGTAGTTCCACCAGTAAAAATACTTAAGAGCAGTATGATTATTCCTACCACATATTCGACATGACTCAATACTATTCTTCTCCTTATTTTCGCTTTGGAAACTTTTATTGTTCGGAGAACCTGGTCCATATTGACTGTTCTGAGAACCTGTTCCTTGTCTCGTAGGCTTGAAACATGTGTTGTTTCCTCTTTCCCTGCCTTTTTGAGCAGATAATACCATATTGTGGTTTTGTTGTGGCACCTCTTCTTTATCTTCCCTTATATCAAAACTCGTGAGAGCATAAACAAATTGATTAAGAGTGGAATATGGTGTCTTACCTAATATGACAAAGGTCTTGTATTTGAGACCTAAACCTCTAGCAAAATTAATTATATTTGTTGCTTGAATATAAGCTTTTTTCAAGCATTCCCACATCTCCTTGGCAGTTGAGCAGCCCACAATTAGGTGCATGATTTCTTCGGTCAAGGTGCTTGAGATTCAACTCCTTAGTAACACATCTTTCTCCTTCCAATCATCAATGGTGCCACTATCTTTTGCATCCTTCTTAACTTTTACAACTTTCCCAGCAGTCTGTCCAGTGGAACAACTACTTTTACTTGGTTCATAGATGAGATACGTTAGTTTCATCACTTGAATCAATTGGGATAGTTGTGTCCTCCATATGAGGTAGTTTGTTGGCTTAGATTTAATGGAGCAAGCGGCAATGATTTGGTGAAGTGAGGAGATTGACATAGTTTCGGTAGAAGGGGCCATTGCAATGTGTGGTTTTTTTTTTTGATCAATACTCAGAGAGCGGAAGAGCTTTTATGCTTTGATACCATGTAGAAATCTCACGTCTAGGATTAGAGAAATCAAAGATTGTATTGATAAAAAAAATGTTGAGTTACAACCTCCTTATATAGGAATAAAAAATTCTTGATAAAAACTGATGCTCAGTCAGTCAAGTATATGTTTGATTAATATTTTAAACATGATGCGTCTAAGTTAATATTTGCTAGGTGGCAGGCACAATTAGCCCCTTTTGATTTCGAAATTCATTATAAAGAGGGGAGTGATAATTCCCTCCCAGACTTCTTATCAAGAGAATATCTTTCTTCTGATAGGTTTTCTTGACTTCTTTCCTGATAAAGATTTGGTTACAATTTTGAAGGCAGTTCCTCTTAATAGAGATTTAAAGGAACTTATATTATGGAGAATTATAGACGGAATGGTGATAGATATCGTCAATGATTATATGATTGAACAAGAGCTTTATGAAAGATTTTATTGTAATGAAGTTTATAACCTCTTGAATGATTAAAAATATAACCTCTTGAATGATTAAAACTAAATGCTATGTTTGCAGGATGGATCCTCCTTGGATAACCAAGGCTAGAGGAAAAGGCTAATAATAATAATAATAATGCAAATATAAATAATCTAATCCTAGTTGTACTATAATCCTAATCATAATATAATCGTAATTAATATAAGTAGTCTAATCCTAGTACGACTCTAATTCTACAGCAATGCTGTAAACTCGTCAGTCAGCTTCGTTGGACCTGTTCCTTTGACATGTTCCAATCGTCAGCTTCCTTCTTCATCAACACTTTCTGCAGACACGTCAGTAAGCTTCGTTGGACCTGTTCCAATCGTCAGCTTCCTTCTTCTTCAACAGTAATAACTGAAAATTATCCTAAGATAGAGCAAGTTAATAAAACAATGCATAATGATGACTCGACAATCATAAATAAGAGAGAACAAAGAACCTGACATGCATATTTCAGTAAATATTTCATCAGGTATAACAAAACTAAAGGCCAAAATGAGTCATTAGGATTATTTGCTAAGGAGACCTACGACTGGGAGGATTGCAAATGAAATATCTTATATGTTAAGGAAAAAACTTAAAAGAAGAATATGCTAGAAGCTCAAGTATAGTCTAGTACATTTTGGAAGATATTTGAGTTTCACAATATCTCAGGTTGTTGTAATCATCTATTAGGTTGCTTTTTCTATTGCAATTTGACACATGTTTATGAATTTATGGCATTTTTTGGTGTACTAATTTTCCTATGTTCATCAAATAGTGAGAAATAAATTTTTTAAGTGTAGATTCATATTCACTTTGTCAACTTCGATGTCTACCAAATGGAGATATGTTGCATAATTTCAAAGATCATTTGATATGCATGTCAAGTATTGAAGCAACATTCCCTAAAAGCTCTAAGCCAAGTACAAGTAACACTTTTTAGGTCAATAACATAGTATTGTCTTTTGTCTTTCATTTCCAGTTTATGAGATTAATTTTCTACTCTTTGTTGACGTTCAGTTGTTTACTGTGTATGTGCATTTGTAGCTATTTATTTGTATTTTTCTTTGTATGATATTGTTTAGATACTGAGTTTTAAGTATTTGTTGTTATCACTTTCTTGACACCAGACACTAATATCTTGGCAAGATATAAAGAATTTAGCTATATGCATTTTCTTGTATCGTTTTTTCTAACTCTTTTCTTTCGGGAGGATATAGATTAGTAGGAAGATAAATTGAATAGTGGAATAATCAGTTACCTTTATTTGTCTATAATGTACAGAATAACTTGGATTTGGGTAGGTTAGCAACAATCCAATATCTCACGGATCGAATTGCAAGCGATGTTAAATTTATCTGTTACCCCAGATTTGCAACTACGTATAGATATCCTCAGGGGTGGTTTCTATTGCAGGCAAGAAATCTTGTATTAACGGTAAAAAATGGACTTGAAAGTAACAAACTTTCACTATGATCTATTCTCGAACAGAGGCATCCATCCAAGCTGTAGTAGAGCTTAGAACTTTGTCATAAAAAGAGACTTCCAAAATCTCTCATGTAATTCCGCTTTTTGCTCTCTTTTTGAAGGAACAAGGAGGAAGCACCAAAGCAAGAAGTACAAAACATTTACATGAATGATGATACTGCAGGAGAAATCACCACATTCTAAATTATTTATTTACATGAATGACTATATTGAAGAAAAAAATCTATAAATTCCACAAGCATTGCTCTAAACTACAGTAGAAACTTGGAAGATGCAATATTGAGACCAAAGTACACAAAATTTTGAAGTATAGGCTGAATTAGTTTTAAAATATCACACATAAAGTAGAATTGTTAATGTCCAACGATATAACTCACCGTAACAAGATAGAAAGCATATTATTAATTTGTTAAAACTGGTTTCCAACTCGGTCAAGTTTCAATGGCAACAAAATATTTTCTATCAAGTAAAATGGTTGTTTATTAGTAGTTCTACTAACAAAACAATGCCTCGATAGTTCCTGGCCAAGGGCAAATATGAAATTCAAATGGAACAAAAAGATAAACGTAATCCAATTGCGACAATATAATAGTAGCTCAAGCAACTTATCAATTTTTGCACTACTAAATAAACTGAGAACATATGTCTCCTCCCGAAGTAGAAGTAATAGCAACGATCCTAACCAATTTTGCAGTACCATGGTTGCTCCGGTAGGATCCCCTTTTTTCTATTAGTTAGATCAAATCAACAAAACTCCAGCTTACAACACCTAGATGTGTGTGTTCTTTCATCTATATATCTGCAATATCTGCAAATCACATATAAGAACAGATAGCCTGTATAAGTAACGAAATTGGTGCTCGAAATCTAAATCGATGTATTAACATTCTCTAATAACATATGAGAACAAAGAAATTATATTACTCTCTAGAATACAGAACCAAGAATATTTTGTAAATGCCTTCAGAATATTTGGATTTATCAAGTAGTAATTGTTTAACGAAATGGACCCAAATAAAATCTAACTTACATTACTTTTGGTATAAGTATTTACCTTTAATCTCTCATTATAGAGAAGAATGAAGCACATAAAAATTTGACTTTTTTACAGCCGTAGACTCTTCTAGTTCTTTAGTCCCAGAATTCTTCATTTTAGACTTGCCACCATTTGCCTTGTCAATGATGAGTAACCATTGTTGAAAAAAGATCTCATTTTGTTTAGTCTAACATTTAGGGTTTACTCTTGTATCTTCTTTGTTCGTGTACACAGAGAAATTTATATCATACCCAGTTGAATCTTGAGGTCTTTTCTGGTATGTGATAGAAGTCATTGCAAAATTGAGATGGGTCTACAATCTTGTGCATATGAGATGAAGAAGTGGATTCAACATATGAATTCTATCCATGCAACAGACCTACAACCACATACCAATATAGCAACAAAAATTGGAAGCAGTATCAAAATAATCGAACATGGAATCACCAAAGCAGAACACAAAAAAAAAGACAGAAGCTTACGGCGTCCATTAGATCCAACAACAAAGTTTAACCCAAACTTCCGAAAGAAGAGGTAGAAATACTCGAGTGAATTGAGCAAAATAGAAAAGTGAAAGAGGAAAAAGAGAAGCTTACCAGTATCGAGTAGATTACAGGGGAGAAAGAACTTGCTTTGGCATACGCATCATTTGCAGAGAAAAAGAAGCATATACACGTGTTAAACAAATAGATGCACATTAAAAGTACCACTCAAATAACTTTTGGGTACAATACTCAATTGCAGTGTTAGTCCTAGATGTTGTTGGCTTATAAATAAGGGTAATATATAAACATAAATGAAAGTGACTTTAATTTTAAAGGTGGTTAGATAATTTTATAATTATTGAACCAGTTTAAAGAAAAACAATAGACTTGTAAATTACATTATTAAAGAAAAGGTTATTAGATTAACTGTTAGATTCTCATGATTTTTCATCAATATTGCAATTAAAATCTAACATACAAATCTAGACAACTAGTATGCTATAAGAATCATTTAACAAAGACAATATAAAATAATAAAATACTTAACTAAAAATCAATCTTTAATCACCTTAGTGTTTATAAAATATATTACTGAAATCAATTTTTTCTTTAGATTCGATAAAATGTGATTGCTTATAAAAATAAATTTAATACTAACCATTATAAATAAGAAATTTAATCAGACTTGTTCATTTTTTAATAATGTGATTAATCGTCGTCTATATGAAAAAAAAATATTATCCAAAAAAACTTATTCTCTTTCCTTTTTTTCCCAAAAGCCTATTGCAATCTCAATTAAAAAGAGAATAAAAAAATTACCCATAATTCTATTTTTTTCAAAAGACATCTAAATTTGATAAAATCTCATTTATTTTCTTAGAATCAAATCAAAAAGTAAAATCTTAATAGACATAGATGTAAAATTTGTTAAAACAAAATCTTGATACACAATTATTCCTCACAATAATGAATTATTCTCAAACAAAAAAAAACACATTTAAATATCTCCAAAATGTTTTAAAATACCTAGAATTCATGTGTTTTTTCTTATGCACGATAATGATCAAGATTTAACCAAGGAGTTAAAATCTACGCAATAGATAATAAATTAAAGGGTAAAGCAACACGTAATAGGAAGAACTAGAATGCTAAATTATATTTTCATACTGATTCCCCAGTTATTCTCCCTTGGATGACTTGATACACAAGAGGGTAGTAACACCGATTCACTAATATCAATTCTTTGATTTTCTTGAGCCTGTAAGGAATTAGGAAAAATACAATATAATTATCAAATTTTGGATGCAGAAAAAAAATTTATTTATTTATATTATGTTCTATAGAATTTTGACCTGTTAATAATTTATAGTAGAAATTAATTCATCAAATTTTATAACAACATATTGTTACCCTACATCCTCTTATTTTTTTCAAAGTGCGAATCAACTTTTCATTATTCAACATTTATTAAAATGAACAACTAAGAAAACCATTTTTATTTTTGTAAGAAAAGTTTTCTACTTTTATAAAATAAATGTTTTAAAAATATTTCTCCAAAAATAATTTATACAAATCGCTATTCAAATTATACTTTTTCTGGATTCATCATAATTTTTAGAGAAAGTACTAAAATATTATTATTGTAGAACAACATACCGCTATTCGAACAATATTGACTAGGAAAATGTAGGGTATTATTTCACATAAATTGTTGATTTCAGAAGAAGAATTCATTTTTTCTCTACAAGCATGATAAAAGAGAGAAAATTTACTCAAGAATATTGATAAGAAATGTATTTTGAAGGATAAATGGAGAGGTGTATATATATATATAAAGTGTAAAGAAAATTATCTAACAAATGAGAGTGCAATTATGAGGATTAATTGATATTTACCTCTTTTTAGTATGGAAATAATGTTTTACCATATCTGGTCAATTATTACTAACCAAACTTGAATATTTATTTTTAGTAATGTGGTTGTTACTTAGATTCTAGTATTTATTTTTCTAGATATCATGTAATTACAATCCTTGTAACTAGAGGTGTTAAATGGGCGGGCTGGGTAGAAATTGGAGATATTAAAATGGGTTGAAATACAAATTGGGTTTGGTTCTAACCCGCCCAAGTTTACTCTGGGCTCAAATGGGCTTAAAAGTGGGATTGGTCTTGACTCACCCAATTTGACCCGCTTAATCTCAATAATTTTAATATTCTATTATTTATGTTTTATAACTACAATTTGAATTTCAACTCAAGAAAATATAAAAAAAAGTTACAAATGGATAGATAAATCCTAAAAGATACTCCCTCCGTCCCTATTTACTTGTCCATATTTCCTCTTTTAGATGTCCCTATTTACTTGTCCATTTTGACAAATCAAGAAAGGACAATTTTTTTTTCCTATTATACCATCATTTAAACTTCTTGAAAATTTAAACTTCCCCCAACATTGATTAGTTATCTTGAATAAATTTATTTTGGAATCATAATTAATAAGGGCAAAATTGTAACTTCACTATGCTAATCATTGTTGCCTTAATATGTGTGTTATTTCTAAAGTGGACAACTAAATAGGGACGGAGGGAGTATAAAATAGATAGTAACTGATACCTATAATATAGTAACATACATTACATCAATGAAAATAAAGAGTCATAAAACGGGTTGAAATTGGAGATTGAATTGGATTCAATTGAGGATTCTCTTAAAATGGCTTAGGACTTGATGGGTTGAAATTAGACCCAGTTCAAATTATCTTGAGCCCAACCCTTAAAATTATGGGTGGATTGGGCGGGTTGCCTATAGTTGGGCTCATTTATGACCCCCTAGGTATAATACAACCAACACCCTACATTTAAATCTTTCAGTTCTCAAACACCTCTTTTCTGTGACTCACCGGCCAGTTGATAATTGTGACTTTTTCATCTGTTTTTGACATCCATCAATGAATATTCCAAGGTGATCGATTATTTCTTACCGATGGTTATTATGCCATCCATAATATGTTAAACAATATACAATCATCTTCTATACGTTCCACCCTTCCTCACTAGTCTTTATGTCACTAGCATCTTCATTAATCTGATTTTCAAGATCCATCACATGATATAGAGCCCCTAATTTTGTTCATTTATTAAATCATATATTTGAGCTACTTACAGTTGGTTTCTACTATATTTCTTGTTCAATAGCATCCATCTCTAGCTTCTACCATCTTCTTTCAAACCACTTCTTCACTAAACACCAATTGGTATAAGTTTCTTGCAGTACTTACTCCACATGTAATTTGTCCACATAAATCATCTAGTTGTAGTTTTACAAACATAGTTTTGAAAATATCAAATAGATCTTTAAACCCCACTATTTCCTTTTTTCGGAAAGCACATCTTATCCCAAGACACCTGATGCTTATTGCTACCTTCTTTCTTAGTACTCCAAAGAAATCTATTAAAAAAATCATTTGAATTTAATACAAGATGAACTTTGTGATGAGACTATAAAGTGTACAGTAGAGTCAGTTAGTTATGTACAATAGAGTTAGTTAAAAATCAATTACATTAGAGTTAGTTAGAGTCAAGTAGTTGATTAGTTAATTTCTACCATATTTGTTGATTAGTGATTGTATATATAGTCACATTGTAATGCTTATGCTCCAATTCACATTTAATGAAATCATATTTCTTCTCTCTAAATTCAGTTACTCTCTAGATGAAGTTGACCTCCATTAATGGAGGAATGGAGCTGGTTCATAGATCATGGTGTTAGTTTTGTCATGGTATCAAAGCTAGTGGATTGCTCGTAGTTCTCCTCCAATTCACTTCGTAAGCTTCTCTCCTGCAATTGCACAAATTCTTCTGTGTTGTTTCTGGTTAGCTGTTTGAAGAATGGTGTTGTGAATTCTTTGCTTCTGTCAATTTTGAGAGCGATCTTCACCTGATTCTCTTCTGGTGGATCAGTTTTCTTGTTTATTACACCAATCAGATTTCTATTTGCTTTAATGCTAAGTTTTTTCGTGAATACTCGAACACCATGGTTGACATTCAAGCTGACCCTACTTCTAGTTCGTCTACAGTTCGAATGGACTTCACTAGTCCTTTTTACGTGCATCCCTTAGAGAGTGTAGCATCCTCTCTTTTGCTTGCATTTTTTGATGGCACTGGTTATAGATCTTGGCGAAGAGTTGCTTTCAGAGCTCTTTAAGTCAGGAGCAAAATATGGTTTATTAACGGAGCAATTGTGCGACCTACTCCCACTGATCCTAGTTTCATGTAGTGGGAGAGGTGCGATGACATGGTCACATCTTGGATTCTGAATTCCTTGTCCCCAGATTTACGTGATAGCCTAAAGTATGTGAACAATGCCAGGGAACTCTGGGTAGAATTGGAAGAAAGGTACAATCAAACCAATGGGTGCAAGTTATATCAATTTGCAGAAGGAGATCAATGACCTTGTCCAAGGCACTCTAGATATCACTGGGTATTACACAAAAATAAAGAAGTTGTGGGAGAAAATGAGTACCATTGATGTCAATTCTCAGTGCACTTGTGTGTGCACCTGTAGGGGTAAAACAAAATTGCACAAGGCTGAATAAGACATGAGGCTAATATAATTTCTAATGGGGTTGAATGGGATGTATACAACTATCAGAGGCAACATTCTCATGACGAATACACTTCCTAGCATGGCTCAAGATTTTGCCATATTATCCCAAGAGGAAAAGCAAAGAGAGGTGAAACCTCACAATCATACAACTTTGGATTCTACCTCTCTCAATGCCTATGGACAGACCAACAACAGTGCAGGATACAAGGGGTTCAGGACAAACTACAGTTCATCTAGAGGGGGTGCAACCAATTCTAGGAATACAAACACCAAAGCTGTTTTTAGAGGCAATTCCAGTACTAGAAGGTCTTCTTTGTTTTGTTACTATTGTAGGAAACCAGGACACACAAAGGATAGATGTTACAAGCTTCAAGGGTACCCATCCAATCCAAGATTACAAAAGGAAAAAGGCACAGTTTTTGCAGTAAATGTGTGTTCCTCTGATGTGAATAGGCATCAAATTGAGGAGGAACCTAAACTGAGGAGGAAAATGCCATTGAAATTATCCAAA